AGAATCGCCTCCAGGATCCGCGATCGGCCGGATCATCTGACACATTTGAGAGATTATAGCCTTATTTTATCACAGAAAGTGCCTTTAAGATGGGTCGTCCGGTTGCACCGCACCACAAAAAAATCAGGACCTGGGTTGGGCATAGTGAAGAGGGCAATTTCTCCCTAACTCCTACAATTTCTCAATTTTTATCGAAAGGAGGCGTAGAAAGATTGCATCAGCTACGGAACACCTGTCAGAAATGGTAAAACTGTCACGGAGCCAGTTGGAGGTAACTTATCGAAGCGTAAACGCAAAGAAATGAACAATAAGAAAATTTTTCATCAAACATGCCCCCCTCCTCTCGACTCTATACGGCTCCTTTTTCTCTTATTTTTTCTTCAATCATCCACCAATGCTAGGATGCCTGTACATAGGAATTACCTCATTTCAAGAACTTTCCTCAACACAGTATAGGAACAGCCGCGATGGCCTATGGCCGAGTGCTCAAAGTGGTGTATCAAAGTCGTCTCAGGGCACTTGTCAACCGAGAAGCCTCTCCTCTCTTTCCTTTTTTCTTCCTCCTTCCTTCTTTTCCTTCCTTCCTTCTCTGATCCCTCCTCCTTTACCTTCTCCCTTCAACTACTGGACTGGTAGATGCCTCGTGAAAATACCCTGGACCCTCGCAGCGAGAGCACGTCTGGTTGACAACAGCCCCGTAACCGTTGACTGAAGACATTGAAAATGGTGGTGGACCCTGGAAAACGCAGACAGCCCACAAATAAAAGCGTTCCTCTAGTCGTTACAGATTTTTTCATATTTCAAAATGAATAAAAATGAAATAATAAATGAAATGTTTTTCTAATCAGGATGAATGTCGTGGAGAACATTGTTCGAAATGATGTCCGTAATTTGGATGTGGTCCTGAAAACGATGGAAAACCGCCATGTAAGTCAGTTTGGCAGCTAGAATTCAGGAAGCTTCAGTGGAGACTTCCTCTTGACCCTAAGGCCGCGGTGCTATTTGTGATTAGACCACCTCCGTCCTCATATACAAGTAACGTAAAAGGGAAATCGCTCTGGAGCATTCCCAGAATTTTGAGTGTAGCTGTCAAGAGAGGCGCATGTCAGAAATAGACTGATCAGTCTAGTAAATGGTAATTTTACTTTACTTTCTCTTTCCAGAAAGAAGAAATGGATGCGTTGAAAATGATGAACGCACGGCTCGAACAGTTGTTGAAGACTCAAGTTGAAGTGTGCCTCATCGGCTGACCCCGCGCCAGATTCACCAGGACTTCCTCCATCTAAAGAAACGAGGCCGGAAAAGTACGAGAAGAAGCGTCGACGTACGCCACCA